ATAAGATAAACGGCTCTTTCAATACCATTGTATTGATTTAAATCCCAAGAAAGACAAGGATGCCCTTTTTGGGGGCCCTGTGGGTTCTTCTTCTTCTGCCTTGACGGATTAGGCTCTCTGGTCTGCGTGCATTCAAAAGTAACTAATCCTAAAATTTGAACCTCACAGACAGTTGGTAGGACTGCTTGGATGTATGAGCAGCCCGTCGGAAGGCCACTACCTACACGGGACAACACAAACACAGAATATGGGTAGATAGACATCCATGATTTCAATAGGATGGGAACCCACAATCCCAGTGTTTATGTGGACAAATACATTTAATTGTTACAATGTTTGTAAAATGTTATAAATATATTTAAGGAAATATAATTTTAGAAATAAGCATTATATTACATTTTAATTATATAATCTCTAAAGACACTATATATATCTTGAAATATTACAAATTTTAAAGATATTTCTGAAAATTAAACAATTGTAGAAACAAACAGATGCTGAATTATACGTTCTTATAATTCCTAGAGTCTTTAATGTGAGCTGGAGTAGTAGTGGAGGGATCAATATGAATCAGACAAACAGAATAACCCCCCTCGTAGCCCCCACACCCCCGCACTAGTCCGTGTTGCGATTACGTGCCACGGATTTTAATTAGCAGCAATGCACTGCCTCGTGGTAACAACCTAGATCAGTCTCCACGGCACCTCCGTGGCTTTCCGTTACGTTACAAGGAATTTATATTTCAAGTTCAACTTCCAGAGTGAGACTAAAAATGATTATACCAGCGAGCATTAAGAGCTGTATCTAAGCATACATTTGTACACTACAGCACCAATGATCTTCCCAAGGAAGGGACACGGCCCTTCGATCCAAAGCGAAGCAGTCCCTGACTGAGGTCATGTGTCTTATCACTTCAGGCGATCCGGTGAGATAGTTGCACAGAACCCATTCCCAAAAGAAGAAAAATTTATAACTAAAAGAAATAAAATATAATATCTTCTTACATATAAGGCCTTTCAAATTCTCCATTTCCTTAGTTTCTCTTTCTCTGGTCCTTTAGCTAAGCGCCCACAAATGTATTTAATAATGCATAAAGCGATTCGTGTCCACTGCAGTTTCGTACTTTGAAAACCGTTTAGGTCAATATAAATGTATTTTAGTGCATAAGTCATCAATATGCAGCGATTTGGATGCAAACAATAGAAAGAATTGTAACGAGAGATCCTTTTCGAGTGTTGGTGCTGTAGCGTGTAGAGCCGTTATTAAGCAACGACCGCGAAATACGCAAATATACCAAAGCCGTTACTGGATAAGAATCGCAAATAAACGTTTTCACAGCAACAAAACGACGCGCAACGATAGAGGTAATATTGGAAACCTAGGTTTTAACTGTGGTCCGTGCCGAGGGCTTATAAGGCGGAAAACTGGAGCATGAATAGAGAGTTGGAAGGGAGCCGCCGTTCAGAGAAGACTTGAGCCCGGAAGCAGAGGACTAATCGTTGTTAGAAGCCGGTGCCAGACAACTACTAGTGAAGACATTGAGGGTTGGAAAATACTTAGCGTGATTTTGTAAAGTGTGGATATAGTGATAGTTGTATAGCTATTTGTAGTAACGACCTGTAAATGGTCTATAAATCCAATATCCAATCCGAAACCCCTTCGATATTCACACGCATATAAAGTGACAGTACTTTCATTTTCAGTCAGTGGGCATACGTGTTCATTAGATTTTCATAATAAACAGGTAATATTATTAGATTGTAGTAAGGGAAGCCGAGGTACAGACGAAACGCTGTCGTTGGGTGTAATGTGTGTGTGAGTGATTTATTTTACGACGTCACTGCATCTGTCTAGAACCTATGGAGTCGAATAGCTAGACGATGGATGAACAATGAATTGGAAACTTCTTACAAGGCAGCGCTCACATCCCGATAGAGGCCCTGCTCAGGTATTTGCCAGGATAGACTCAGAAAAATAATAAAATCCTCCGTCAGGGTAGCCTTCGTCCCGGTCGAAATTCGAAGTTAGTACCTCCAAACTATTTGGCATAAGGAAAAATTGCCTGATCAGTGGAAAAAGTCTATTATTGTACCAGTTCACAAGAAGGGTGATAAAACTGACTGTAGTAATTATCGGGGGATATCACTGCTATCAACTTCATATAAAATTTTGTCCAATATTCTTCTTTCAAGGTTAAGTCCGTATATAGATGAAATTATTGGGGATCATCTGTGTGGGTTTCGATATAACAGTTCAACTACAGATCATATCTTTTGCATTCATCAGATACTGGAGAAAAAATGGGAGTACGATGAGACAGTACATCAGCTATTCATAGACTTCAAGGAAGCCTATGATTCAGTTAGGAGGGAAGTATTGTACAATATTCTGATAGAGTTTGGAATACCCATGAAACTAGTTAGGT